TACTACAACTTCGTACACTGAAAAGTGCCTTCTTATTCGCCATTTTTCGTAGAAATTTTGGAAATTCCTAATCTGTAAGAGCTTGTCTCCTGTCTTTAAAGAACTTATTACAGATTCCAGACACATTTTTTCCAGGTTGTTTTTTCTGTTTATCACTCAGTAGCGGAAGACTTGCACCATTATATGGGCAATAGTCATCACATTAGTAAATCGAAACGAAAGGGAGGATAATAGTTGTCAGTGTTTACCCGTTGGTTTTCCTCGTAATTGTGTGCGTTTTTGATAGGTACCTAGAAAATTCAATGCAGTTATTGAATCAGAAATGTCATCATTAATTTTTATCCTACGTTTATTGGCAGTAGTGCCGTAAAATTGTCCAAAAGTTAAGTTAAACTTGATGAAAATAATAATTTAACTTTCTTTACGTTACTTGCTGTGTTATATTTATTATATCCCTATGAAATCAAACCTCAAAAATTTCAAACTACGTAGTTTAATTTTATCATCTAAACATACAATTTAATGTTGATGTCGTGTCAATGGCCCTACAATATATTACGGATTAAAAAATTAAGAAAGACGAGATATCGCAATTTCTTTGGGATTAGAGAAAAAACTGCACAATAATGCTATTCCAGATAATCTGACGACCTTTCTTTATTTGATTAACTCAAAAACCACCCATTGTTCCTTGGCACCACTCAACCTTTATAGTCTTTCTTAATATTTACCATTTTATCATCACACCCACCTGAATGAGTTGGCAAAACCAAATTTTAACAGTCATGGTAATTAGACAAGAACACACGTTGACTGTATGGACAATTACTTATTTCAAAATATAAAAAAGTGTTGCAATAATACTCAGTATATTGAATAGATTATATTACAAATTCATGGTGACAGCTTTTAGTTTAGTAGATCTATACATTTTTTTGTTTGTTTACAATTAATTTGTTTTATCAGGAGTTATTTGGTCTTTGACGAATGTTTTCGTAATCCAATATTTTCAGATTTCTGGTCGTTTTTCTGTCGTGAAACTGAATTCAAAATAGTATTCAAGTGTTTGGTCGTATTTTTAGACTTTGTTTAGATATTAAGATTTATTTTGTAATTTGGCTTTTTACACCAAATAAACATTTTATTATTATTATATTATTTATTTTGGACGTCATTATAAAATTTTTGTTTAGAAGTAATTCTGAATTCAGCTTTTCAATCAAATATTTTTTTTAGAAACTTGCTTCTTTTTTTAGAAATAGATGTAGATTTTTTATTCCGTTATGAGTAGTTAGTTTTTTTATACATTTTTTTTTAATAAAAAGGACTGACATTTTAGGTTTGCTGATCCATAGAGCAGGGAGCTTAGAAAAAAAAGATTTCAATAAAATAACATAACACATTTTGGAATTTGTTTCTTTTGTGTAACTGACCTATTTATTCCCCCAATATGTTATAGGCTATAAGAAAGTATAATAAGTTATTTTTGAAGAATTGAACTAAAACCATATATTATTCAGTTCACGACTGAATTTATTAGAGGACTAATTAGAAAGTCTGCCCACTGAAATACCCTGTTAAGACAAAACGTTTCACCAACCTTCTCTTGTTTTATTACCATTTTAGCATAACTATCATGAGACAATGTCTTTACATCATAATCCGTATCGAGTTCGCTACTTCGCTAGCTACCATGTATCTGATTCACTGCAATGAATTTAGTATTCCCCTCGTCGATACTGGCTGTTGTCAAGCCGCTACATGTGGATTGAAGATACACGTAACTATGTACGTTCATAAGAGCGCAAAAATCCATACTCGCATAGGTTTAATAATCGGAAACTATCCCCTCCAATACATCGAACATGTTATGCATTTCCTTGCAACTATTTTGATGAAATCTCTGCATTGTTTTTGGCGGGAAGTAGCCGCGGAGTAGCCCGGGTGTGCTCTCAATAGCGACTGTTGTATAATTTTAGAGAATGGAGATTTTGTTTTGGTCCACCAGTGCCGCGGCGGTGGTTCGTGGCATTTCATATCGTTGCAAGTCGGTTTCGCTCGCTATTATTTCTATGGCGACGTTGCCGTTCCGTCTAGTAGATCGGGCTCGATTCTCGGTCGGCCCGCCGCGGTTGGAGGCGCTGTGAGCAGTCAGTCGGCCGCGCAGCTCGGTGCGCGACGTTTGTCCGAGGAAGGGCTCCGCTTGCGTCCCTCCAGTCCCGGCCTGACAGTGTCGTGGGTGCGAAAGAGATAGCATTGAGTGCGAGCGAGATAGCGCTATGGCAGTGTCGCAACCTCGCCCACCTGACCGTGTTGACGCCGCGCTCGAAAAAGTTGCGCCGTTGCGCTATTTGGAGGCGCACGAATGTGCTCGCTTGGAGCAAGCCGTGACGCGCTATTATCTTTATTCATTGTCTCGAAACTGTTTTTTGAGTTATAAAAGGCGTTTTCTACATGTAATTGAAGACATCGACGTGCCTGCATTTAACATTCAGCGGTATGTAGTAGTTTTGATACCTTTTCATTTGGATGCGTCCGAGGCCAATCGTTATCTGAATTGCAACAGATAGATAGGAGCTGAAATCTTCTAGTTCGGTTAACTGGGTTGACTTCTGATCTCCTTCGAGTAACATTGATTCGCATTGACGTTCGGTGAGTCGCGCTGTGTAATTGTTGGTATTTAGTCGCCATTTTCTACGTCGGTGACGAATACCGCCGCGCCGTCCTCGTTTCCCCCGGCCCGATGCAAACCGGACTTTACCGCTCTATTCCGAAAGATGATTATCCTTAGCCAACCTTTAACTTTTTCTTCAAACGAGATCCGCTCGCTATGATTCATTGTAGAAATAATAATACCTAACGATTTTCGTGAGTGACTGTACCGTGAAAAGAGGCGAGTCCAATATCTAAATAGATGGTTTCAAAACGTGGCCATGTAAAAAGGCGGGACTTGTAATAACTCTCGATAGGTAGGCATCGACAGTGTTTAGTTGCCTGCGCCGTATGCGGTACACGACACTCTCGAAAGTCTGTCCGGCTAGGTATTTTGCAGCGCCCAGTCGCTGTTGTGCAGCTAGCTAGGGTGTTATCGATTTGTGTACGTTTTCCGCTATAAATAAGTACGAGTTTGTGTCATCGTCGGTGCTGCCGGACCGGTTTGTGAACGAAACCTGTGTGGGTGCTGTGACCGGAGATTCGAAATTCCAAATTCGAATGTACCTCGCCTCTAGCTTTCGAGTACCTTTATGTTCGTGTTTTAGTTGCGTAATATGTTTATAAAAGCTATATACTTACATTCACCGTACTACGTTATATTAGTCACGTTGCACATTTCGGGTATTGACGTAGGCCAATTCAATTCGATTATTTCTAGATATTTACGAAATGTTCAATGTCAATTTTTTCTGACCCTGGACGGAATGATAAAAATGTTAGATTTATGAAAGTGGAACGATACAGATGATTTAAATTCAGGATGTGACGTCATCTTATTTTCTAAACCTCTTGAGCGTAATTCGTTATGTTAGTGCGAATCATCTGTTTTGATTAATTGATTCTAAAAAAGTCATTAAGATTTAATGTAGGTGTAATTTATTTCATTAAAATATTGAAATTGAAAATATTTTTACCAACAACTTGTACTCCGTATAAACCCTAAAAAAGGTTTCCGATTCACAATTTGTGAGTTAGTTACACAGATATTACATAACTTCAATTAAAATTCTAAAAATGTGGGTAGTAATTAAAAGAGTTAACTATATTTATAACGTTGCATAATAAACGTAACGCATGTAAATTATTAAAAATGAATAAAACAAAACATCATCCGTGGTTAGTTCGTTTCCGTTTATGAAAATGGCGGGCGCGCGGTGATTACCATCATCAGTTGTTATTTTATTCAGCTACTAACGGATCGATGAACTAGATTCGTCAAAGTGAGCTGTAAAGTAAATGTCGATTACAAAGTACTCGTGAGTGTTATAGAAGATAGTAAGTCATTTTTTATTTAGAAAAAAAGGAAGGAATTGAAGTTTTAGTACTCGAATCACATGTAAGTACATAAAATCTACCGCGCATAACCTCTATGGACGCGTTCTCTCGTTGATTTTATCGGTTTTATATAACGAGTGTTCTCTTCCTGTATTTAAAACTGTAAATTATCCTTTAATAACCACGTGCTCAATCATGCGGCTTCTTATTTCAGAGTGTGACGTTAAATTGCGTGTTATGTCTTCAAAAAAATGGAGTAGTTACGGAAGTTATCAAGTGTCATTAGTTTATCACAGTTTTTGGTTAGTTTTCTACGATATAAATATTGGTTTTCGTCAAAACTTATCTAACTGACGTAATGTCTTTGTCACGCGTGAAGAATTGATTCGACGTTATGGTGAATTTTGTCGATATGAGGTATTTTGCTTCGTTACTAGAGAAATATGGGGATTAGGGCACGCCCACGAGGCAGAAAAGACTTCAGTTAGCTTCTCGGATGGTGTTTGAGGTCCTAAATGACAGAATTCCGAAAATATGAGTTTTTAATTAGCTTTTGAAAGTGATGTTCAGTAGTTAACATTTTTACTAAATCCCCCCCATCCCGTTGCTGACCTATCCAATAGGACTGACAACTGCGTACAAGGGGGTATATTAAACTAAGCATTGGAAGCATCGCAAAGTACTACGTTACTTGCGGTGTGCCGAAAATGTTAAAACAAATTATTCATTAAATAAAACAGTTTATTTTATACAGATATTCATAACTAAATTAACTACAGGATGACTAATACATTTATGTTGGCTCTAAATTGCAACGAACATGAAGATAGACTAAAGACAGCTGTTAAAATCGCAATCTGTTTACAGTCAAATTGTTTAACTGATCAAGTAGATTAAGTGCCTACAGACCTTAAAACATCGAGTCTGAATCATTCACCATCATTACTAGCCAGTTTCCATCCATTGCTGGACATCGATGTCTTCAATATAGTCTTCAATATTCGAACATAGTGCCTCCTTCTTTTTTGAAGTTGGTAATAATTCAATTCTATGTAGATTAAGGTATTGACTGCCAAGAAAAACTATTGAAGGCAAATCCCTCTCGAACGTTGGTCACCGGTGACCCCATAGTGTTTAACGTGTTAAGAGACAGCCTGTGTATTTGTCTGTGCTTCTATAAACCAAATAGAGGTATTTCAGATCCGAAATAAAAAAAAATAATATCTCAATCCTATATAGATTAATAATCAATTTTAACTAAAAATATGTCATCTGGTCTACCTATAAACTAAAATGCTTGTTATAAACACAAATCTAACTTTAGGCTACCAAACATTGATCCTAAATGTACTAAAATAGCTACAAGATATAATTTTGAATAGGTCACTGCTCTCTTTTCATGTCATTTCCATGTTTCCTATTTATTTAATTCAGCGGAGCAGAAATATGATTCAAGACATATTTGATACAAGTTTTGTACTGTTTTTCTCTATTCTGAGTAGGATATAGTGGGGCTGAGTGTGTTAGGATATTTTAAAGTATTTAGGTATCGTTGTGAGCTAATGTAAATGTGTTAGGTGTTAGTGTAGTGTAGAGATTGTGTAGTCTATAGCAATCATTAATAAATTGCTGTTTATTTAGCTTAAGATGTACTTCTCGTCCTTATACCTTAAAAATACCTATCATCATCATCAGAAAGAACATATATTAGTCTTTTTCTTAGTCTAGTGCCTATATTTGTTTCAAAATGTCTATTTGAATTTAGATAACAAAAAGAAATCTAGTAAATCCTGTGTTAAGTATATTAAAAGCTTCTGAACATTATATTAAGAATGTGTTCTCTCTAATTCCAGGTGATCGTGTGATGGGAAATCACTGATCATCGATTATGATGAAACGGACAGGAGTCCCGCGGCTCGGGCCTGATGAGCCCGCGCCCCTGCCTCCCCAGAATCAAGCTCAGGTAAGATTTAGTTCATTATTTCTCATCATGTCCGCCGTAAGACATACATAGCTGAATACAGGCGTCTATTATGACTTTTACATAGGTGGTTGGTAGCAACCTGCATTGGCTGCGGCTAAGTGCCTAACTTAATCTGTAAAATAATATTTATGACGGCAGACTTAAGAACTATTGCTGTATATCGCACAAAAATGTTAGGAAATTCATTAGTAATAGTCTGAAATAAATAGATTCGTTTATAACAAGAAATTTGATTAAGAAACACAATTTTGACTGCATGGTTGGTGCGGTGGCTGTGTATCTGGGTGCCGCATGGAGTAGCTCTGTATGATCCACAGATTATTGTTTCGGGTCTGGGTGTCATTTGTATGTGAACTTGTATGTATGTAAACGCACACACGACACGGGAAAATCCTAGAGTGAGAGGCAAACATTTAAAAAAAAGATTCATAATCCTGCCTTTTATTTCTACATGATAACCATAGACTTAAAACTATTACCATATTTTTCTTATAAAAACTTACAAATTGCAGTCAACAATAATATTTTTTAATAAACAACACACGTACATACATAATTTCGCAACATAAAGTTACTATAAACACTTCAATTACATTTTTTTTCATCTTATACAAAGGAGTCACAAAATGGCGGATGCTAGAGTACCTATATGCTTTTTTATGTTCTTTTGCGCCGTATTATATTATGTAATGAATAGTTTCCTTTGCTTATGGATATTGAGAGAGATTTTTTTGATGTTGTTCGTTCATTAAATCGTAAAAAAAGCTGTAAGTTGTTATGAGTGTAGCTACAGGAGTTTTTTTAACTGATTTCCCAAAAAAGAGGAGGTTATCATTGTTATATGGTTTGAGGATTCGAGTTTCATTGGTTAAGTGAAAGATCAGGGAATTATTTGACGACGTCTGATAAAGGAGAATGGGATAGAATAGTAAACAAATCACCCGTAAAGAAAAGAACATATTCCTACTTAAAATACCGGCAATGCATTTGTCTCTGGCGATGCACGGGTGATGGGTGTCCATGGGCAGCACTGATCGCTTACCATCAGGTGATCCATCTGCTCGTTTTCGTCCTATTCTATATATAAAAAAAAAATGTTGCTATGACTAACAAGGGCGGGTCAAAAAAGGAGGCAAGTCTGCATTATTTAAGTTCAAATTGCGATGGAGAAGAAAAACAGTGTTGGTTTCTGAATTAATGCTGGATTTTGTGGTTATTAAAGTTTATCAACTAAGAGTACATTTACAAAGTATTGACTAGATTTTTTTTTTAATAAACTGGTAAACGAGCTTACCGATCACCTGACGGTAAGCAATCGGCACCGCCCATGGACATCCGAAACACCAGAGGTATTACAGATGTGTTACCGGCCTTTTGGGGATTAGGAATTTGAGGATTTTTGGGGATTGGGGAATTGGGCTTCCGGTAACCTCACTCACACAACGAAACACATGTGTTGTTTCACGTCAGTTTTCTTCTCGGCCGTGGTATCACTCCGGTCGAGCCGACCCATTCGTTCCGAAGCATAGCTCTCCCACACTTTAAACAACTAGATAGTTAGATAGTACATTATTATCGTCAACGATCAATACTTGGATTTATACGTACATATTTTACAGTAGTAACGGTGCCGGCGCCTGGAAACTAGGTCACTGCAAGCCGAGTAAATTATTAAAGAGGAAAATTGATTTTCTCTATGTAGGCCCTAGGAAATTGATTTATGCCCCATCGACAAGTAACTACAAATGAGATCATCCATAAACTCTATTATGAGTAAAAAGTTTATCACAGAAGTGGATTCGATCTAGAAAGCGCCCTCATAGGCCTCAATTTTTATTGGCGACGCCGTCAGACTATGGGTAGTTCGGCACGCGCGTTTCGCGGAGCCCTCTGTAACCTGTGCGCCGTAGGCACTTGCCTACTGTGCCTTAAATATAATACGGCACTTGCTTAATATCAACTCATTTCTATCCACTGCTAGATATAGGCCTCGCCAAGAGCACGCCACTGCTTAATCTTCAGCTCGCATTCAACCATAGCGAGGCAGTGATGTGTTTGACAATCTATATATTAAAAAATGGATCTCTTTTGCCCGAATACTGAAACGTTACTCAATTTCAAGTCGCGCTTAAGTATCGTTCTGTTGTGTGTAAAAAGACAGAGATGGCACGATATTTAAGTACGTACAACTTAAAATAAAATTGCGTTGCGTTACCTATTTTTGCGTCATAACAAATGACGGTCAAAAAATAGTGATCGCTCAAACCTTTCATAAAAGGTCGGTTTCATTTGACCATTTTTTTTCCTCAAATAAAATTCGTGCAGTTTGCGATTATAGGTACCCGATGTTTAAACAATAGACGCACCCTTTATTACAATAGGACTAATAAAAATAACTGGAAAAACAGCTGTACTTGTCCCTTCGGAGAACAAGTGTGATTTTATGAATATTTTTATATTTGTGTAATTCTTTTAATAGGAAAACACTAGTCGTCAATAACTGATAAGTGATAGAAAATATCAAAATACACGTCAGACAGAGATAAAATGAAATGATTAAAACAATGCATTTCACTTTAATATTCGATCGATAGCTATCATCAGTGTGGGCTATTGTAACACTGATAAAAGATATTGCATACAACAATAATAAATAGATTAAAACATATCAATATTATTAATTTTTCTCTACCCATCTCATGTTCTAGACACTCCAGTCAACTTTGTTGTACCGTGTTAGTCTACTGATGATATAGATCAGCATACCTCTTCATAAGAGGAGCTTGCCATACTTGGCATGCAAGTTGGAGACAGCAGTTTAAAAGGTTCAGGTTTGTCAGAGAGTGCTATTGCCCGGTCATGTCAAATGTGTAGTCTCTTAAGGGTATATGACATCGCGCGATGGTGGCAAATGTATTCCACTCTGACGTCATCATACGACAATGTACATACTAGAAATAATCAGCTCATTGACTTAAAACTAAGTGCGTCATTTATATTGTCACATCTACAGCAGTTTCCATATGTAACCTGTTATATAGATAAATTGGATACGTACCAAAAATACGTCTATTCCGACCACGTTGTGACTATCCTTGGCGACAAGAGTTGGGTGCAATGACACTGAAAACTGACGTTTAGTTTGCGGTTTTCCGCCGCGATATGTCATGTTAAATACTTATTTAGGGTGTTATTTTATTTATTTATTTTTTATTTTATGGCATAAGCCGATAATCGAGCAAACGGATCACCTGATGGTAAGCAATCGGCGTCGCCCATGGACACCTGGAACACCAGAGGCGTTACAAGTGCGTTACCGGCTTTTTGGGGATTAGGAGTTTGAGGATCGTTGGGGATTCAGGGATTGGGAATGGGAGGGTAATTGGGCCACTGGTAACCTCACTCACACGACGAAACACAACGCAAGCGTTGCTTTACGTCGGTTTTCTGCTCGGCCGTGGTATCACTCCGGTCGAGCCGGCCCATTCGTGCCGAAGCATGGCTCTCCCACACTTAAAGCGGTTATGAAAACCGTTTATTTTAATTAGGATGTGTAAAACGGGAAGGATAGTAACCATGTGGTTTCCTTCGCTCTTTATTTCAGACTTCTAACGTCAGGAAAGATATTGAATGAAGTAGATTGTTTGTGGATTCATTCGTGTCTCTCTTTCATATCACCTCGAACAAGTACGCTGTACAAGTTAATTAACTAATTGAAGTGTAATGAATGTGATGGAAGCTAAAGAAGTGTCTACCTAAGGAACATAACACCTATTCATACCTTATCATAGAATAAAAACTGATATTATTCTATACTTTTAGTAGAATTGAGTACTTGTTTACATCATCTACTATTATTACCCATAATAAGCTCTTTACAAGCTAACAAACAAATATTTTAACTAAGTTTCAAATTAAACACGGTGAGTATAGCGAATTAATTCGATAGCAACATTATTTGTTTATGTAATCAGAATTAAATACTTTCTACGTAGCAAATAGAGCTCAAGTTACCGTGCCAACATGGTAGAAGTAATATTAAATTTTAAATGAAAGAATTGTAATAGATTTCTGTATGCTTGTGTGGGTTTTACATGGGTAACGTGAACAAAGTCGCTAACAGAAACTAATTATACAAGTACTCAAGCAGCTTCGCCCGTGCATTCCCATGGGATAAAAAGCCTGTGTGTTATTCTAGACCATAATCTACCCCTGTTCCAAATATCATCCCGATTCCTTCAGCCGTTTTGACGTAAATGAGTAACAAATAAACATACATAGATTCGCATTGATAATATTAAGTAAGATAAGGGAAAATCCCCCCCATCCCGTTGCTGACCTAGCCAATAGGACTGACAACTGCGTACAAGGGGGTATATTAAACTAAGCATTGGAAGCATCGCAAAGTACTACGTTACTTGCGGTGTGCCGAAAATGTTAAAACAATTATTTTATTAAGTAATCTGTACATCCTTGTGACATCTACTGAAAGGATGTACAGATACATCCTTTCAGTCTATTTTATTGGACATAGACATCACAGTAGTCTTGTAAAAAAAAACTGTCTGTTTGGCAGTAGGTTCAAGCACAATAAATAGTTTCACAAAACTAGGGGCTTTTTTTAAGGGGAAAAATCATCGAATGGCTGCTCCCGCCTGGGTGAGACGGGAGGGAGTGGTGTCTAATTTTTTCTGACTAAAAACCGCCCCGTTCCTTCTCCTGCACGTCGAGCCGGAGCCCCGGTAACCCGTTAGGTTCTCAGCGACAAACTTAGGGGCTAAAGCATATTTGTAGTCTCTGCTATTCAGACTTCTACAATTGAAATCGGCGATCGATAGTAGAAGGGATCAGGGAGGACACCCAGGGATCTGAGTGTGATTAAAAATAAAATCTTTTAATTGTTATTCCGTCATAGATAAAAAATACCTAATACTATTTATTATATATTACATTTCCATCACTGTTATTACAAAATTAAAAGATCGACATTTCGAGAAAACAATCACAAAGAAACCATAGCAACCTAAATACACTACAAATTAAAATAAAACACAATTTCCTTGTCCAATTAGAGGGTATTAATATGATAAGTGTAGCAAAACAAACGAGCTGTTTACACCTCGAGGTCGATACATTGATAGCGTGTCGATAACCTCTACTTGTTTACAATTATGCACATCACTATTTTATATACATACATGGTGTATACAATAAACTTAGGCATTCGTCCTTTGGAGGTATACAGAAACTACAGAGCGCCATCATAACGCTCCTTACATACTTCTTTAGCTTCCATCACATTCATACATCTGATGGTATACAGAAACTACAGAGCGCCACCTACTACGCTCCTTACATACTTCTTTAGCTTCCATCACATTCATACATCTGATGGTATACAGAAACTACAGAGCGCCACCTACTACGCTCCTTACATACTTCTTTAGCTTCCATCACATTCATACATCTGATGGTATACAGAAACTACAGAGCGCCACCTACTACGCTCCTTACATACTTCTTTAGCTTCCATCACATTCATACATCTGATGGTATACAGAAACTACAGAGCGCCACCTACTACGCTCCTTACATACTTCTTTAGCTTCCATCACATTCATACATCTGATGGTATACAGAAACTACAGAGCGCCACCTACTACGCTCCTTACATACTTCTTTAGCTTCCATCACATTCATACATCTGATGGTATACAGAAACTACAGAGCGCCACCTACTACGCTCCTTACATACTTCTTTAGCTTCCATCACATTCATACATCTGATGGTATACAGAAACTACAGAGCGCCACCTACTACGCTCCTTACATACTTCTTTAGCTTCCATCACATTCATACATTTGATGGTATACCATAAAAAGGCTATATTTTACACCATCGTCCTACTCAAATAGGATCAATTCCCACGCGAAATAGTATCTAATTATAAACCACGATTTAATGGTTCAAGTCAATGAAAACAAAACATTAGTAAATAAATAATAATAGCTTGAGTATAATAATAAAAATGTTGGCACTGACATTCTTTTTCATATATTTGTGCCAATTTACTTAAAATATTCGGGTCAAATAGTAAGAGTAAACGTTATTTTTATTATTTGTAAGAAGTTGTTAGTTATTTTTAAACATTCACTTTTTTGTGTTGGAGTAAGCGTAATTATAGGTCCACTTCAAAGATGGATAGGTCTGAATAAGGTCACAGATAGGTCACTTGATACATGCAGGTCGCTTCCAACCTCGCGATGTGTAGTCATTGGTGGAGGACTGTGGGAGGCAGTGGACAGTACGTGGCTGTACGCATGATGATGTATACATTTTTTTATGGGATAAGTCGATAAACGAGCGGACGGATCACCTGCTGGTAAACAAATTGCGCGTCGCCCATGGCACCTGGAACACCAGAGGCGTTACGAGTGGGTTAATGCCTTTTAGGGATTAGTAGTTTGAAGATTGTTGGGAATTCAGGGATTGGGGAGATTGGGTAAGGGGGGGGGGGGGGTAATTGGGCCTCCGGTAACCTCACTCACACGATGAAACACAACGCAAGCGTTGTTTCACGTCGGTGTACTGTGAGGCCGTGGTATCACTCCGGTCGAGCCGGCCTATTCGTGCCGAAGCATGGCTCTCCCACACTTAAATCTCTTATTATCTTCCTCTGACTCTTTTTTATGTAGGCTAAAAACCATGTTTTTAACTCCATCACAGACCTGTCCTAAATGTCGGCGAAAACGCGCGAATTTATAAACAAATTATTTGCGTGAAAACACGGTTGTATGCCAATAAGACATGAGGAATGAGTCAGTGGGTTATTTATAGAGAAACGCCAACGTTCACTCGAATATACTTGTTATTGAGAGCCAGCCTTGCTCGATTCTACCTGCGCAGTGTAAACACTGATATTTTTTACACGTTTGTTTATTCTGATAGGAGATGTAATGCGATATTCGGATTGTGTATCTTGTTAAATTTTAAAGTAGACTTTAATGCATAATTATTGTAATATGAGGACAAAATTGTGTGAGAAATGTTATGTTAAATTATGTAAAGAGACAGTTTTGAGCATAGTTCTAATAAAAAGGCTTCAAGTGTTAACAACAATATGAATTAATGTAGGGATAGTTCTAGTTTTCTACCACATCTATTGGATTTTGTTGATTTTAAGAGGTGGATTATTAGATTAAACTGTTTAGAATACAGAAAAATATAGTTTATTAAGCACGACTTTTACTTACAACAATCAATCAGAGAAAAAAAGACGCGGCAGATAGTCTGGCAAACGAAAGTAGAGACTGAAAAAGCCCGGCAAATTCAAAAAATATCAGTATAGTAACCCAAAAATTAGTATGTCATACCTGGAGTAAATTTGCCGGGCTTTTTCAGTCTCTACTTTCGTTTGCCAGACTCTAGAATAAAAAAATGTTGCCAACCTAACAGTTACAATTATTGCCAACAGAACAAACTAAAGGTTGCGTTCTCAAATACCAACAGATTTTGGTAGACAGCGACCCTGCCTATTCCATTTTCATTAGTATTTTGACAAAGAGTGACAATGTTTCTAACCTCAACGATGTCTTTGTTACAGATTCAACAAGCTGGTGCAAGCAATATGCACACTTTGGCCCAGTCGGCCCAACCTCAAATCTTGGGTAAGTACAACTATGTATTTCTATTTATTACCTAAGCATCGATGTCTAGTAAAGTTATCATTACATGTTTTACAATAACTGCCTCGTTGGCCGGGCAAGGGGCAAATTCGCAAGTGCGACTGCCGGGCAAGGGGCTCGGGTTCGATTCCCGGATCGGGCAAAGTACTACTGGATTTTTAAAAATTCCCAGCGGCAGCACGGAGTCTGGAATTGTGCCCGGTATATGGCAATAGGCTCACCCCCTGTTACATGGACTCATAACGTAAATAGTGAAAAGTGGGTGTTACATTGTACTTACAGTGGCATTAAGTGCCGTAATGTGCACCTCTGCCTATCCCTTCGGGGATAAAGGCGTGTTATGTTATGTTTTACAATAATATACACAAAGTTGTTTCGTCAATCAGAAGTTTTAGAGCCTAATAGTTTCAGGTCTGTTATATCCTATCCTTATACAGTTAAAAAACATGATTTATCATTAGCAGAACTACTTTACTACTGGGATTGATTTCAAGACAGTATACCATAAAAAATTGTCTTCAAATACTAATCCCCCAATTTCTCCGACAGACATCCGTTCCCCAGCGGGGCCAGCCACTCTTCTTTCGGTCGGTAGCAGTGGAAGCTTCGCCCGCACAGGCGCTCGGCCCTCAGGAGGTGGTCCCGTTATCAACTACCTGAAGACCAGCGCCGTGCAGTATGCTGCGAAGCAGCCGCCGCCGCCGCAACAAGTACCCCAGAGGCTCAAGGTTGGTGTTATTAACATTTTTATCATTATTAAGACTTGACTGCCAATAAAAATTGTTGAAGGTAAATCCTCCGCTAACGCCGGTCACCGGCGACCCCCATGGCGTTTAACGTGTTAATATATTTGAATATCTTGAGAAAAAAAGGAGTCCTTTGGTAAACTAGTATGAAATGGAAGGTTCAATGGAAGGTTCCATTTCATACTGGTCTGCAAATCTACAATTATTATTCTTTTAGAATTTTAATGAAATCTATAAATTTTAGGGTTACATTCCAAACGCTACAAAAATACTCTATTGTTTAGTCTGAGCTGACTGTCTGTAGTTCATCAATAGACGGTGTACCTCATGAACTGTGGTAGACAGTTTTTTATTATCTTCAGCACAGGGATTTCATAAATGAGGTGAAAAATGTGGTATTTCGGTTAAGCAAAGCATTATTGAGATATCTTATTTTCAGTATTCAAAGTAATAAATAACACACAGATGTCGCATATGGTTATAATCTTGCCTCCTATTACATACAACTCGATAACTGTCCAAAAGTGGGTGTTACATTTAATATGTGCACTTCCCACACCTTCAATAAATGAAAGATACGATATTACACAATTTATACAACCATTTTTATCTTAAACCACGCCACAATCCTGCATACAAATTATTACGGGTTTTTTTTGAGGGGGAAAATCATCCAATGGCTTCTCCCGCCTTGGGTAAGGCGAGAGAGAGTGTCAAGACTCTTACTGACTAAAAATCACCCCGTTCCTATTCCTGCTTCGAGCTGGAGCTATAGTAATCCGTGAAGTTCTCGGCTCTGGGTTAATTATTACGGCTGGCAACACGACCCCACTTCACGTAGCGTAGTTGTCAAAAGTTACATAAATAAATGGTGTTCTATTATTAGATTGTTTTGTTACGCGAGAATAATAATATTTGTTGTTGGTAACACTTTATTTCTATGTATAAATGGTGTTGTTGTTTTGTTTTTGAGGCTGTATGCTTTATTGTTTTGTCTGTATGGGGTCAATGGGTTTTTCTTTAAGTTGTATTTGAGATAATTATGATTTTCTCGAGGCCCTCGCACATACTACGTTTCCATCACATAAACAAATTCATTCATGGCCCAGCTCCTTTGATCCAATAATATTACGATTGATGCCGAAGGGATAGGCAGAGAAGCTAATACTCGCATGATAGAAATCTCATTATATCGTTACAAAACATCTAGTGCTGAATATAGGTCTTCCTCTAGAGACCATGCATCATAACGCCTTTCAATCCCCATAAGTGTAGACAGAGGTGCACCAGCAACACCAGTTTTCACCAGTTACGCTGTCTCATGTATTTTTATAATAACTATCGTGAGATATGCTGTACTGTATAAGCCTAATACTTATTGTTACAATAATCACTTAATACTATGTATACAGAAGCTGTTGGTATACCTATTTAAATAAATAAAATATGCTGAATTAACTAAAAATTACGAGTTGCTTTCGTAAATATGCAATGTATACTGCGCAACATCGTTGCGACCACGCACGCTGCTCATGAGGAAGAGTCAGAGGGCTGTGGCTCGAAACTAGTAGAGCTTTTCTCAGTATGTTTACGCGAGTAAGTTGTATTTTTTAGTTACTTAATTAGGTCTTATGTCGTGGTGGCCCGGAGGTTAAGACGCCCGCTTCTCGCATGAGGTTGCGACTTCGAAACCTAACAACGGCAAGTGCCAATATGACTTTATCCGAGTTATATTGACTTTCTAAGATTATTTAGACACCACTGCCAAATGGCGAAGGAAAACATCGTGAGGAAACCTGGACATTTCTAATTATAAGTTTGAAATCGCCTACCGGAATGAGAAAGCGAAGTGATTAATGCTCAATCCTTCTCCATATGAGAAGAGGCTTTGCTCAGCAGTGGGCATTTATAGGTTGCTGATGATAATGAGTCCCATGTAATAGTTGGTGCTATTCTAGATCTATTCAACTCAGTGTTTATTTAATTTAGTCTAAGGTTCTTATTATATTGATAGCCTATCCATGACCTGCCCTATCAGTTATGTCACCTATATAACAAGTATATAACAATAATACTGTTTGTTTGTATCAATCATTCAATTCTGTTACGTAATGAGTACGGGAAAAGGTTATACCCACTTTTTTAACAAAGACTTAAAAGGCATAGTTCTAGATATTCGTTTTTTTTCTTTGTTAACTGGCAACTCGAACTGGCTTGTAAATTTTGCTTTTCATAAAAATCTTGCCATGATTTTTTGTAAGCAAAATTCGATATAGTTGAGAATTGCGTATTGAGATAATTTCTGTGTTTAGTTTTCTGGTAAAGAGAAGGTTCATTTTCAAGATATAGGATGAAGTCGGCAAAAATGGTAGTAAAAGACTTCTTTCTGTATTTAGCTCGAAACATTCTAATAATACTGCTTTTATTTCAATTTTGATCCTAATATGTTTGAAATAAAATGTTAATTTACAACAAACTAATTTAAATTCATATAAGTTTAAGTTCAACCTAGCTAGTTCATTGGCTAATTAGATTATTAATTAAACGATAAACATAACATAAAATCACGCCTTTTATCCCCGAAGGGATAGACAGAGATGCGTATTACGGCACTTAATGCCACTGTAAGTACAATGTAACACTCACTTTTCACTATTTATTTTATGACTATGAGTCTCATGTAATAGGGGGTGAGCGTATTGCCATATACCGGGCACAATTCCAGACTACTTCTAAGATTTTTTTTTAAACCCAGTAATACTTTGAACGACCCAGGAATCAAACCCGAGACCCCATGCCTGGCAGTCGCACTTCGCGACCACTCGGCTAACGAGGCAGTTAAACAATGGACTCCCTTTTGATCTCCGAATATAAGCACATAACACCAACTCTGCACCGTTTATGAAATTTAGAAAGAGTCCAGTCCATAAACACAAATCTAACGACCGCTTATCTTTCAGCAGGCCTTACCACCCCAGCAGCCGAACTTAGGAGCATTGCCAGCAGCTTTAGGTCGCCAGTCACCGGCCCCAGCGCCCCTGGCGACCCCGCCGGGCGTGGCAGTGGGACCGGGCGCCCAGCAACAACAAGCTGCTGGCCAATTCCAACGACTGAAGGTGGAAGATGCTCTGTCTTACCTTGATCAAGTCAAATACAAATTCAATACGCAACCACAAGTTTATAACGACTTTCTGGATATCATGAAGGAGTTTAAGAGTCAAACGTAAGTATTTTCTATAGTTTAGTCTTATTTTTTTATTTTTAGTTATTTTTTGTTCGCTTACGTAGAGGTTTCCTTGACTATCTTCAAGTTATATTGATACTAAAAACCTACATAGAAAACGATATTTATATTAAAATACCTACATGTGTTATCTATCAACTATTTTAATCAGTAAATGGCAATTAGAAGCAATGAAATGAATTTAGAGGCAAGACTTAACTTTGAAATTATAGCATGAAGGTTTTATATTCTTTTATATTTATTTACACTTCTTCATATTTATCTAAAGAATGAACACCTGTATGCCTAATAGGTACTACTTATGCATCAAGGAAATAAATTATTTGGGTTAGGTATAGGTATGTTAGGCTATTAAATTAATTATACATACATACCATACCTACTTAATAATACACAAAAAAACCATTACAATACTCTTTAAATGATGAAAACAATTACCGTTTGATTTTTCAAATGAAAAAATTAATGGCTGCAATTTTTATTGTACTGATTGATTTTTTGTTTAGCCGAGACCTCGAACCCCAAATGTTACCCATCATCTTAATTTTAGTCTGTATTGCAGTATCGACACCCCGGGAGTCATCACCCGAGTATCAAACCTGTTTAAAGGGCATCCTGAATTGATTGTGGGATTCAACACTTTTTTGCCGCCTGGATATAAAATCGAAGTTCAGAGCAATGGACAGGTAAGAAAACTGTACTTATTATAATATTTAATTGAACCTGGGTGATGGTATTTTAAATGGAACAAGTAATGTCAATAAAACAATGCCATTTCGTGTGATATCCATAAAGGTTGTTGAGGAAAAATAGTATATTGTATGGGTATCAATTTGATCTCTGCATCACTTTTAACACTTTGGAACAAGCAAAGTCAATGCATGTATTTCAATTAAACCATAATTTGATACTTTTGAAACATCAACAAATACAAAATAAATAATAGTCTGTCAGTCAGTCTGTCAGTGAAGCTAGATGAAGCTAGCTGCTCATTCCAAAATGTAGATTCGAATGGAGAAGAACGAGCAAGAAACTCCATTCGTTACTCTTTTTAATTACAATACAACATGGGGTTCTTCAAGAAGGAAGTAAATAGGCAAGGCATGTGCAATGTCCCAAGTGTTGCAAGCGTTCATAGGCCATGGTAACTACATACCATCAGTTTGGCCGTGTGCTTTTCTTGCCACAGTCATAATATAAAAAAATATGCTTCACTACAGGACTGAGAGAAAGACTGACAGTTTTTATTTTGTTTGACGTCCAATAGTGCTTTATTATATTGGTCTTATTGATATTTATGATTTGAAATGGAACTTCTTATCAACAAGCAAATGTGCATGTATTTGTAATTGTAAAAGTACTTTTGTTTTGTTATTCAATAATGTTAATTTGTTTTGCTGTGCCTTACAGGCTTCATAATTGTGTCCTAGTATTAAGCCCGGTCTGTAACACGTTTTTAAACAATATGGTATGTAAATTCAATAATACATATTATGGGAATATGCATAATTTTATGCTCAAAAATGGCCGAAAACTAATAACATATTTGAATACAAAAACTGTGGATTACTACGATCGATTTTTAACCGATTTAAAAAAAGGAGATGCTACTTTTAATCTGTATGTATTGATAATCTCGGGATTAACTAAACCGATTTTGATGCGGTTTACAAAAAATGATTGTAACTAAAATCTGCTCTTAAGTCAATTAGGAGTAGATTTTAGTATTATATAACGATTTCAAGCCTCAAAATCTGTTTTGTTAAACATTGTTCATACATAAAAATCTTCATATGTCAAAAATAGATCCTTATACACAGATTTTGAATTTAAACACGTTATTCATTATGGCTGTTCGCCATTCAACAAGCAAGACAACAACAATGAATATAAATATGTCCACAAACTATAAAATCTAATTATTCGCAGGTGTCTGTATCAATGCCGTCTCCCACGGGGTTCGGTGGTAGCAGCGGCAGTGGCGGCAGTAGCAACGTCTTGTTGGGGGTTCAACACCCGCCGCCACCGCCCCAACCACAACTGGTTCATCTCCTCCCAGTAGCTCAGTAAGTTATTTCCTTATATACAATTTTTATTTATTTATTTAGTCTTGTACACAGTTTGATTACACAATGGCTCATTAGGTGAACTTTATGCCATCTTCCTTCCACTCCATCCACATAGGATAATCTGTCGTGGTGGCCTGGAAGTTTGAGACACCCACTTCTCATGCATGAGAGTGCGGGCTCGAAACCTTCCAACAGTAAGTACCAATGTGACTTTTTCCGAGTTATATGTACTTTCTAAGATTATTTAGACACCACTGACAAACGATGAAGGAATACATTCTAATTATAAATTTGAAATCGCCAACCTACACTGAGCATGCATTGTGACTATTACTGAAACATTTTCCGTGTGAGAAGACGCCTTTGGTCAGCAGTAGACAGTTGTAGCCTATTGATGCAATGATGTGGAATAGGATAATTATACAAAAATTAAAGTATATAATTGGAAATATTATCTCACGAGGCGAATACTATTATCCTAATGTCTACTGCATGATTGGTAAAGTGGTCGTGACCGCAAGGTCCCATACAGCGTGCTGCGTGTTCGATTCGCGCATGATATGTGTAGGTCATAATAAAATTAAATAGTTGTTTCGGATTTGTATGTGATATGTAGGTATCTAAAATTAACCCGAAAGTCTTGTCCAAGCCTGAATACGTAGGCGTACTCTATTGGTGACCGCATCGGTCAAAGCAAACTTAACAGTAAACATATCTACAATTGACTAGTGAAAATGACAAATTTTACAACAAAATAGACATTTCGTGAGACATACTAAATAAATTATTATGTTTTCGGCTTACTCGCGTAATAATTTGACTAGCATACATAGCTATGTATGCTAGTCAAATTATGCTAGCTAGCATGGCTTGAAACTAGGCGAGTTCCTCGTCAAATTATTACGTGTGTATGCCGAAAACATAGTAATTAAAAAAAAATAGATATTCAATTTGCCGCAGTCATTCCCGAGTTAAGGTAGTTAAGTTAAACGCAAACAAACATTCGTCAATTCACATTTTTTTTGTATTTAAACATGCGTAGCTACTGACGTTAATAGCAAATTCATAACTATCCTTTCAGTATTTAACATAACACATGAAATACATTACAATAACTTATCTATGATTGGTTAACGTCAATGTTATGTTAATTTCATAAAGTGTAGGCACTCTCTCTGACGTATTACAATTGTTATAAGTTCATTCAACTTGTGTCCAAGTTTATATCTGTTTTGTTATAATAATTTCTGTTTTGAGATGTAAAGATATCAAAGGTCGGTTGTGTTTCCTAGCGTGTTTTTGATTCTTCTTTCTGTCTCTATTTTTTACCCGACTATAAGAAGGGTATAGATAAAATATTTGCAAAGGATAGTGTTTCATATTCAAAAAGTTAGCTCGATTTAAAAAAAAATAGCCAAACAAGTTGTTATATGTTTTTAAAATGTTCAATTTTGTAAAATCTTTTAAATTACAATCGCAATAGTATAATGAAAAAATAAAATAACACAAACATGAATTACTATTTTTCGTAACAACTAAACGCAACATTTCATATACGATTTTGAGGGTAAACAAAAATGTTCACCTGTCAGTTCACATTCAAAATCCAGTTTAATTCAAAACGTTGAGTAGTAAACAGGTGTTACTTAACTGTTTATGTACATAAAATCACGCTTTTATCCCCTGAAGGGGTAGAACAGAGGCTCAGATATAATGTAACACCCAGTTTTCACCATTTTGGTTATTGTAGGTGAGATTGTTACCATGTTTCTAATTTGTTCTTTTGTTGTAGGGAAGCTGAAAAAGAAGCTGTGCGGCGCGCCGGGGGCCCGTACTCTAACATGGAAATGTAAGTTTCTTATTTACTATGTATATCAATAGGTTTTTGACGTGAATATTTCTCAAAAAGCGCCCATTACGTAGGTAGCGTAAATAATGTAAACAACAAAAGAATAATTCTATCGTATTTCGTACAGTATTTTTTGAGATATTAAACAGTTAAATATTTGTTTTGTGTAATAGAAATGTGGTTGATTTTTTGTGTGATTTGAGACAATGATGATAAACCGTGCGATGTGCAAACTACAGAATGTCGGTGGTGATACACGCATGCTGCCTTCCTACTGAAATGTCTCTTTAAGCTATAAAATTACACAATAATTATGTCCGAAAACCCTTTGTCTGATTTACAAATATTGAAAAGATGTTAATAATCCTACTAGGTCCTTTATAAGTGCGATGTCAGCCATCACTAGTAATCAAAAATATATACCTTGAAATTTGTTTAGCAGTCAAAATTTGACGGGGCACGGTTGGTACGGTGGCTGGGACAACCAGCTGCCGCGCAACGTGTCGCGGGTTAGATTCCCGCACGGATTTATTTTTGTGATCCATACGTTGTTGTTCCGTGTCTGGGTGTCATGTGTATGTGAACTTGTATGTTTGTAAACGCACCCACGACACAGGAGTAATACTAGTGTGTGGTAACTCATTAAAAAAAAAAACATATTTTCTTTAATAGACAAAGGGTTTTTATATGTCTAAATATCTCAAAAAACCTCTATTTTTACCCCATAACGCTATATTTAACTCAACTTGTATCTCCGCAGGTCTGTGAACAACGCGATCGTTCACAATCTATCCGTGAACGCGGCGCCTACTAACACGCTGCATCAGATCTCGCAGGCCCATCAACAACTAGAGGCAGCCGCTATTCACCATGCTGCTGGGCCCGGTAAGACAAACTTGTTATTATAATAAATTAGTTTATGATGTAAATGTGACAATTGCTCTTATTGAACTGTAAAATGCATAAATAATTAAGTTAGCAATAAGATCTTTTAGTAAAGTGAAACTGATTTCATATTAATGCTAATGTCCAAGGAAGTTGAAATATGGGCTCGCATCATTGAATTCTATAGTAACTTATAACATCACGCCTTTATCCCCGAAGGGGTAGGCAGACGTGCACATTAGATTACTTAATGCCACTGTACAATGTAACACCAACTTTTCAGTATATGAGATTTTTTAAAAAACCCCAGTACTTTGCTCGACCCGGGATTCAAACCCGAAAGCCTTTGCCTGTCAGTCGCACTTGCTACCACTTTGCCAACGAGGCAGTCACTTATTCTACAGATCCAATTTAAGATTTAGTTAGATCATAATTTCAAATTGCTATTGTTAAGGATTTTGCCTGCTTCTTACAGAGGTTGCTCTTACTAATTCTTTTATTGATGTGCACTACAGATTGTTTAACAAAAGTTAGCATTAATATAGGTTTATTTCAAAATGATGAAATTAATTACCGATTGATCTTCACTGATAAAAACTTGCGGCTGCTCTTTTAGAGTTCTGATTACCCTCCTACAAGCTTCAGCCACTATCTATACATACTTTGGACGTGTAATAATAACATCACGCTATTCATTGTACACAGGGTCGGCCCAGCCAGCAAACTCGTCGCACCCCGCCCCCGCACCGCCTAGCCAACCAGTGGAATTCAACCATGCTATTGAATATGTTAATAAAATTAAGGTAAGGAACAATTATTTTTATCTTAATACATACATACATACATAACTTCACGCCTGTCTCCCATGGGGGTAGGCAGAGACTAAGGAACGCCAATTACTACGATTCTTACATACCTCTTTCACTTCATTAACAGTCATCAATCTTTTCATGCATGCTCGTTGGTTAAGGGTACTTTTAATTTGGCCCTTCTTTAATATATCGCCAATTTGGTCACTATATGTCCGTCTAGGGCGCCCTCTACCGACGGCCCCATTCATATCCGCTCTGTATACTTTTTTCGTTACTCTACTTTCATCCATCCTTTCTACATGTCCAAACCAGCGTAACATTCCCTTTTCAATCCTTGTCACTACATCATATTTCAATCCACACCCTTCTCTAAAAACATTTTTATCTTAACTTGCTAGTATTATAAATGTGTAAGTTAGTACTATGTTACTCAGTCTCGTCAATACGGCTAAAGATATCGGGTTAAAGTGTTTATTATGGCATAAGCCGGTAAACGAGCAGACGGATCACCTCATGGTAAGCAATCGGCGTCGCCCATGGACACCTGGAACACTAGAGGCGTTACGAGTGCGTTACCGGCCTTGTGGGGAATTTGAGGATCGTTGGGGATCCAGGGACTGGACAGATTGGGGAAGGGGAAACTCTGGTTACCTCACTCACACGACACGACGCAAGCGTTGTTAATACACATTCGACTGCACTGTTGACGCGATGGTTGGGTAATCGCCTGCCGCGTAACGTGTAACGGGTTCGATTCCCGCACGGAGCAACTCAATCACAAATTGTTGTTCCGGGTCTATGTATGTTTGTAAACGCACCCATTACAGAAGAACGAGATAAAAAATACATTACCCACAAATGACTTTTCATATACACACCAAACTGCATAAAGACAACAATATAATGATGAAATTAATTACCGATTGATTTTTAATGATAAAAACTAGCGGCTGCTCTTTTAGAGTTCTGATTTTACAACCAGTTTATACAAAATGTTACTATAAATATAAGTTTCTAAGAAAAATAATTTAATTGCAGTCCCGGTTTTCGAGACAACCGGATAAGTACAAGAGGTTTTTGGAAATTCTGCACGCGTATCAACGCGGACACCGGGAGACGAAGGAGCCTCAAGCTAAGCAGCAAACGGAACAGGAAGTGTATGCTCAGGTTCGTAACTTGGTTTGATACTTTTTGCTATCATAATAATGATTGTTATTTAACCTGCAGCTGTAGCCAAATGCCATTTAGCGCTTGTCTACATGTAGAATAGAAAACCAAATTATATGAAATTGACGTAAATTTTGACACTTGTCAGTGTCATCCCCATACATATTGATTTCTGCTCTCTCTGTAGACAAGCGCTAAAGTGGCGTTTGGCTAAAGGCTAGAAATTACTGTACTATATTTGTAGTATGTTTCTTGTTAGTTGCCCTCGTTGAACGAGTGCTCGTAAGTGCTACTGCTGGCAAGGGGTCTCGGGTTCGATTCCCGGGTCGGACAAAGTATTACTGGGTTTTTAAAAATTCTCTGTAGAAACACAGTCTGGAATTGTGCCCGGTATATGCTCACCCCCTATTACGTGGGACTCATAACATAAATAGTGAAAAATGGGTGTTACATTGTACAGCGGCATTAGGTGCCGTAATGTGTATTACATTCGATTCTTTTGTTGGACAAATATTTTTTTGTCGGTTTTTTATGGTACTCTCCTGTTATTAAGTGAGATTAAGCAGTCGCTGCTTACCGGTTTACAATTATAGTCGTGAAATTAAACTATTCATAATACTATACTAACTTGCTGGTTAGGCAAAGAATAACTCCATTAAATGTAAAATTAACCATTATCTTTCATTATATTTCATCAGGTGGCGAAATTATTTGAAAACCAAGATGATTTGCTGGCGGAATTCGGTCAGTTTCTTCCTGATGCTAAGGCAGTAACCAAACCTGTACCAGAGAGCCGCGAGCGACACTACCCACATGTACGCTCGCCACCTGTGCCAGCACATCATCAGGTAATTGTCATGAGATACATATAATATATGAAGCGAAAGAGGTGTGTAGGAATCATAGTAATTGGTGTTCCACAGTCTCTACCTACCCCCATAAGGTGTGAAGTTATGTATGTATATAAGCTATAAGGAGCAATAAGAAGCGAGTGGAAGGAGGGTAGGGGATGCCTTGCAGTGGGATGAGCATGGCTAAAAATAAATAATACATAATCCATCGTGTTACTATTAGGCTGAAAGATGTTTACTGCTGACTGGACTAGAGAAGAGATTACTACAGTTGAACGTAAACTATCTCCATGCTTTGCTAACAACTTGTAATTATTGACGGCACGGTTGGTGCGGTGGCTCGACAAACGGCTGCCGCGTAATGTGTCGCGGGTTCAATTCGCGCATGGAGGAATTTTAACTTTTTGTGTGATCCACAATTCCCGTTGTTGGTGTCGTGTGTGTATGTATTTGTGAGTGGAGTATGTAGTAACGCCCCCCCCGCAGCCCCGCGCGGAGCCGGAGCCGGAGCGGTACCCGGCGGCGGGCAGCCCGCCGCACGCGGCGCACGCGGCCCACCCGCACCACGGCCCACATCACCACCATGCTCCGGTAACTATACCTTCTGTATTTGTAGTCTCCTGTTAGGGCCGATTTGTAAAATATCAAACGTATCTATACTAATATAATAAAACTGAAGAGTTTGTTTTTTTGTTTGTTGGTTTAAACGCGCTAATCTCCGAAACTACTGGTTCGAATTGAATAATTCTTTCAGTGTTGGATAGCTCATTTATAGAGGAAGGCTATAAAATATCACGCTACGATTAATAGGCGCCAAGCAGAGCGAGTGAAATCGCGCAGAAGTGGCTAGTTCCATTGATAAAATACTGGCGATGCTAAAATCGACCCTATAATATGTTCTAAGTTATTTCATTCCGGGTTCCAAGACATTTCATTCCGGGTTCCAAGACATTTGTTCATGTCTCTGGCAGGTTGGACTTTAGTGTTCCGGCGTTTTCTTGATTGTATCTACTGCAGATCTTGGCCTATAGAAAATAGTAGAAGTAGAAGGTTGTTGCGGGCTTATCCCAAACAAAGAAAAGTATACAAGCAAAAGAAATAACAACAGGAGAATAACTAAACTTCATCATGTCTTTTTTGAGGCAACCAAGGCATAGACGAAAGGCTAATTAGTTGTGCTAGGGAAAGTACTCGGACGAAGTTATGACGTGTCAATATACATTCAACATCAAATGTGAGTCATAAATTTCAGATTCCAAGATATGAAATGTAGAAAAGACTTAACACTTCAGTTCAAAAATTAGAGGTCCAGGCGACACACGTACTTAGGTATCGTCATGAGCTAATGTTCACATGTAAACAGCAGCTCATGTAGTGCAGAGATTGTCCAGTCAACAAGGATGTAGCGTAGACTGTCCAGGCGACACACGTACTTAGGTATCGTCATGAGCTAATGTTCACATGTAAACAGCAGCTCATGTAGTGCAGAGATTGTCCAGTCAACAAGGATGTAGCGTAGACTGTCCAGGCGACACACGTACTTAGGTATCGTCATGAGCTAATGTTCACATGTAAACAGCAGCTCATGTAGTGCAGAGATTGTCCAGTCAACAAGGATGTAGCGTAGACTGTCCAGGCGACACACGTACTTAGGTATCGTCATGAGCTAATGTTCACATGTAAACAGCAGCTCATGTAGTGCAGAGATTGTCCAGTCAACAAGGATGTAGCGTAGACTGTCCAGGCGACACACGTACTTAGGTATCGTCATGAGCTAATGTTCACATGTAAACAGCAGCTCATGTAGTGCAGAGATTGTCCAGTCAACAAGGATGTAGCGTAGACTGTCCAGGCGACACATGTTAAGTATGTTAAGTAATTCATTACAAAAATTACTTAATGTTATTGAAATTGTTATCACAATGAAGACACGTGATATTACCGCGGTATCAATACGAGACTGGCTCGTACGTGCGGTATCAGATAATATGATAAAAACACTGATACTGTCTGTCTTGGCTAATGGACGCAAGATAACATTGTTTACAACGCTGATAGTTAAATTACTATTGTTCTAAAAAAACAAGAATACACCTTAATAGCATATGCTATTAAAGTTGTATTTTCCAATTACTCTTTTTTCAAACTGATTTCAAAGAAAGGAGGTTCTCGGTTTGACCTGTATGTATGTATGTTCAAATTCAAATCATTTATTGCAAATATAGGTCAAGTTAGTGTAGATGTTACAGTAGTTATTATAAAATAATTTGATCAGCTACATTCTGCCAATTAGCATCCAATACTTTTTGTGAATTACAATTATAATTTATTATTTATTACTTACATTATTTGCATTAGTCATAAGAAAATATTAATTACAATTATAATTTATTATTTATTAATTACATTGTTTAAATTAGTCATAAGAAAATATTAATTACAATTACAATTTGTCATTTATTACATTGTTAAATGTATGATTGGCTTAACCGATTTCGACGCGGTTTTCAGAATACCGTTTGTAGAATGTGTGTGTGTGTGTGTGTGTGTGCGTCACACTTTGTAGAATAAAAAGACTTAAAAAAGAGGCGGTTGAAGTCGGTTTTTTAACTTCGGTCGGTTGTCTGGATGTAAATATGTATATGTGAATCTGTATGTTTGTAAACGCACCCACGTCACAGAAGAAAGTCCTAATATAGACCAAAATTAATTTTTAATTTTTCCTTATACAGCAACTGACTAAGCACCCAGGTTCCACATCGAGCTCGGTGTCAGCTCCACCACAACCACACCATCATCTCAAACGATCTCCTAGCTTTACGTCATCCAGTCAGATGGGTAAGTCAAACAAATTCTAGTTATATCCATAACATTCTGCCTTTTATCTCCGAAGTGGTAGACAGAGGTGCATATTATCCACTGTACAATGTAACACCCATTTTTTTACTATTTATGTTATGAGTCCCATGTAATAAGGGGTGATCCTATTGCTATATACCGAGCACAATTCCAGACTCCGCGCTACTACTGAGATTTTTTTAAAAAACCAGTAGTACTTTAACCGTAACCCCTTGCGCGACCACTGCCAACGAGGCAGTCTAAACTTATCTAAAATAAAAAATAAAAAATAATAAAGTTATTGTTTCAACAGCAGTCGGCGCGCCCCCGGCAAAGAAGTCTCGTGTATCAGGTCTGACGGGAGCTACGGTCCGCGACGTCTCGTACGCGGAAGCCTCGAAGCTGGCCACGGTGCACGAGTTCAATTTTTTCGACAGGGCCCGCAAGGCTTTGAGGTCGCAACATGTCTATGATAACTTTTTGAGGTGAGATACTTTGATTTAAAAAAATCATTTAGAACTATTAAAGGTTGCTTAAGATAATAATTTTCTTGAAAAACAACATTCCATTCGCCAGTTATGATACGCGTCCTATGTAATAAAGGAGAGCCTATTGCCAATATACGGAAAAAGCACCAGTAAACTGTCATATTAGACTCGTTAATATTGATACAATTCATGCAATTTGCAATCTTTATTGTTAAACTTTTTAACACAAAAGGTCAATGAATTCGTCTCATGACACAGATATAATTTTGTAATGTCTACACTCATTAAATATTTTAAATTCTGCAACCATGTTGTAATTATCGTAAATACAAAATTGACTTTGAACTTGTGAGACAATGATGACAAACCGTGCGATGTGCAAACTACAGAATGTCGGTGGTGATACACGCATGCTGCCTTCCTACTGAAATGTCTCACTTAACATCTATTTGTCGGTAAATTTGGCTACTTTTTTTTTTGAGGGGGGAAAATCATCCAATGACTTCTCCCGCCCGTGTGAGGCGAGAGGGAGTGTCAGACTCTTACTGAACAAAAAACCACCCCGTTCCTACTCTGCCGGAGCCGGAGCCCCGGCAACCCGTTAAGTCTTTCGCAGCTAGTAAATTTGGCTACTAACATCACGATTTTTATTCCTTGAAGGAGTAGACACAAAGCAAGTGTAATAAATATCTTTAGCTATGACATAATATTCTACATATTAAAAGGTACTTGTCATACCTCTAGAGTAATTTGAAGGCTTTTACTGCAACAGATATTAAATAAATCCAATAAATTAACAGATATTAGTAGATTGGCAAATTGTTATTGTATTATTGAAAATATAGAATTTGAAACATTTGATAATGTATAGAATTTATATAATTAGTAGCCAAATCGACCGACATAATATAAAGGTTTAATATTAATAATTTTACTTACAATTTCTAACGACAGTTCTATCTTCTAATGCCATATTATGTTCGACAGATGTCTATTACTATTTACCAACGAGATAATATCATCGTCGGAGCTGCTGTCAATGACGGCCCCGTTCCTATGCCGTCACCCTGAGCTCCAGAAGTGGTTGCAGGATTTCCTCGGACCACCATCACCCCCACATACTCCCACCAATACTTTGCATAGTGGTAAGTTGGAAACATATTTTGGTTTGGTTTTTGTGTGAAATTACTCTTGTTTTTTAGGAATTAAAATGTAGGTACGGATTTGTTATAAATCTGATAGATAGACTGTACCGTTTTGGAACGATTCTGGGTTCGATTCTCGTGTCTGTTAGTATCATTAGTCTTTTCAGTTTTGTACTGCACGAGGTCTAAGACGACGTTGTGTTTCAAATAAAACTTTGACGATATTTAAACTTCATTCATCAGAGGTTTACATAATAGTTATAATTTGAAATAAATAAAAGGGATAGGCAATGCATATGATTTTTGTTTCAGTCTATGAACAAAAACAGCTTGTTATTCAGATATATTTTAATAGACAATACTAACAACAGAAATGACCAATATACAAATTACTTAATGAACGTTTCAATACCCATCAAGTAATGCCCCGTCCGTATTGCAGGCGCCAGCTACACCAGCGCGCCATTCGGCGGAGCGAGCAACGTAGTGTTCGAGCGCGAGCGGCCCGCGGCCGCCGACGCCAAGCTGCGCTACGAGCCCATCGGCCCGCTCGGCGCCCAGCTGCGGCACGACCGCCCGCAGGGGGACGCCGCCATGGACATCGGTAACTATACTTACTTTATTACCAAAAATAACGATATCGTGCCTGTTTCAAGGTGATGGAAGCTATAAGATGTAAAGTAAAAGTCATTTATTTCAATTAGACCAGGAAGCCACTTTTGAACGTCAGCAATAGAAATTTAAAAGTGAAGCTATTTGCTCATTCCAAGGTGTAGATTCCTATGTTACTCTTTTCGAATCAGGTTCACAATACAATTCTCCAGTGACACAGTTTTATTGGTTCGATTGTGCGAGAACAATGTAACACCCCAAGTAGATCTACAAGATAGATGAAATTAGGATGATTGGCTTAGAAATCTAGATGAATGAGATGAAAGATTTAGAGTTCTTAAGGATAGAAGTCGGTGGCGCTCTATAGTGTCTGTCTACTTTAAGAGGCAACCTAAAAACTAAGATTACGATGACGATGTTCTTAATGAACAGATGAAAGAAAGAAAAAAGCTGTCTGTCATGAGATGTGAATTACTGAGCCCATAACTCTGACAATACTAGTTGGAATATGAGAGGATATGAATTTCTTCAAGAGACAAATTCTACTCTCTTTTTCTCTTTAAAAGACTAAAAGCATATGTGCTTGTATACTGATGTGAAACAGGCACACATACATTGAATACAATTCCTCAACATATATACTAAACAAAATCACAATCTTCCAGATTTATCAACGTGCAAGCGCCTGGGCACGTCGTACTGCGCGCTGCCCCGCGAGGCGGCGGCGCGGCGCTGCTCGGGCCGCACGGCGCTGTGCCGCGAGGTGCTCAACGACACCTGGGTGTCCTTCCCCACCTGGAGCGAGGACTCCACCTTTGTCACCAGCCGAAAGACTCAGTACGAGGAATATATCTATCGCTGCGAGGATGAGAGGTTTGAGGTGCGTATCTTATTTTTTTTTTTTTTATGGAATAAGCCGGTAAACGAGCAGACGGATAAGCTGATGGTAAGCAATCGGCATCGCCCATTGACACCTGAAACACCAGATGCGTTACAAGTGCGTTACCGGCCTTGGGATTAGGAATTTGATGCTAAAGGAGATTGGGGAAGGGAAGTAATTGGGCCTCCGGTAACCTCACTCACACTACGAAACAACGTTGTGGTAGTGTCACTATGGTGTCCTGCTTGTTGGTGCGAACACTCCGGTCGAGTCGGATCATTGGTGCCGGGGCATGGCTCTCACACACTTAAAATGTGAAATGTAAATATAGTCTGCTGTGTAAATCGAAATGTATTTGGGATAGTGTCAATTGGTCCCAAAAACATTTGGACAATTTGCATAGTGAACCGAATATATCTAATAATTGCCTCTCTCATTCCAGCTGGACGTCGTAATAGAAACCAACGCGTCAACGATCCGTGTACTGGAAGGAGTACAGAAGAAGCTCGCGCGCATGACGCAGGACGACGCCAACAAGTACCGCCTGGACGACTGTCTCGGCGGACACTCGCCCACCATACACCAGAGGGCGCTGCGCCGGATTTACGGTGATAAGGTGGTACGATCGAGTCGGACTACTAGGCATGCTGTGCAAACTAGAATGCAGGCTTTTATGCGTAGCGTAGCGTGTAATAAGCCTGTCTGTATTTAGGCGCTGGGTTGGGCAGCGTCAGTATTTTACGCCCATTTCAATAATAGATTGAATTATCTTAACTCCGGTCACCGGTGACCGCTTGGTGTTTGACAGTTTAAAATCGCGGCTTAATCACGTGATAATACTGAGAAAAGCTCTACTAGTTTCGAACCACTGAGGGACTCTTCCTCGTGAGCAGCGTGCGCGGTCGCGGCGATGTCACGCAGCCTGTTCGTTAATTTAGTATGTCTTACGATAGTTATTATAAAAAAAATCGAGTTTCAACAAAATATTCACTCGATATAAATCCCCAAAATTTGTTCATACGAAAGTAGTAAGCATCGGAAATAAGGTCTATAATGAATTTAGTGGAGAGTGGTCCCGGTGACCGCTAGGGGATTGATCAGATACAGATACAAGTATTTATCTAAATAAGCAATCTATATAAAAGAAAGCCGTGTTAGTTACACTATTTATAACTCAAGAACGGCTGTATTGATTTGGATGTATATTAGTAGTGAGGTAGCTTAGAACCAGGAGACTGACATTAGGATATTTGACTTTATATCCCATACTTTTTAACGAAAATCACAAATGGGGAAGTGAATAAAACGGTATTGCGCCTACGAAGTCGAGGTCAGAAGGTACATAAAGGTGACGAACAAACCTGTCAAAGCATTTATTTCAATAAAACCATAATTTGGTACTTTTGAAACGTCAACAAATACAAAATATATAATATTCTCATTCCAAAATGTAGATTCGAATGGAGAAGAACGAGCAAGAAACTCTATTTTAGAAACTCCTGCTTTCCAAACAGCAAATATTAGGATTAATTTGCCCAACCACAGCTTAATAAATGCTGTAGTACTGCTATTATTATATCGTATATTTTTTTTATTTATACACAGCATTGCATGCCTTTGTCTCTGCTCTTTTATATCTAGTTTGTAGTTCGTTTTTAAGTTTGGTGATGGTTTATTTATTAGTTTTTGTTGATGCACTATGCACCATTGTGCTACGAATTACGCCTGAATACTGCTGTAGCCAAATGCCATTTAGCGCTCGTCTACATTTAGAATAGAAAACCAATTTATATGGAATTGACGTAAATTTTGACACTTGTCAGTGTCATCCCATACATTTTGATTTGTACTCTCTCTGTAGACAAGCGCTAAAGTGGCGTTTGGCTAAAGGCACTGAAATGCTGACTCAATTTTTATTTGTACATCTCTCTATCATTTTATGAAGTGTTTGTTTGTCATTGACAAAACTAAGCTTGACTATACGGTAGACGGCTGGACAACCGGTTGCCGCGCAACGTGTAGCGGGTTCGATTCCCGCACGAAGCAAATCCAATACAGGCTCTGCCTAGTTTAACTCTTTCAGTCACACTTCTAACTGGTTATGAATATATTTCATTTAATTATACTAAAATACTTAAAAAACAAAGCAAAAAAATTGAAGCATACTTCAAAAATTGAATTTCTAAGAAAAGGTGGTTAGCTACAGTGTCCACTAAGACTGAAAGAGTTAAGATGTTAGTTTTCATAAACTGTGTGTTAAATGTTTTTGTTACAATAAACACTTTTTATTATTATTTATTAGTTCGTAGTGCGACTTTATAATAGTCCCGGGTGCGCGAAACAACTATTTCTGTGAATCACCTGTTATACTATAATGGTATAAATATTTGCTTAAAGCCTTTATGGACGTAGTGAAGTTAGTGATCAGTCCACTAGTCATTTAGTGAAGCTGAGTTTTAGCTTATCATCGCCCGAATACTAAAAGGCTACTTCAATTTTAAATTGTAATTAAATGTCGTACCAAATTATTTTCATTTTACAAAGAATTTGTATCGACAGATATAGTTCTATTTCTTTCTTTGCGTGCGTTAAAATTGAGTAGCCGTATTATTCGGGCGTATGTAGATGGAAACGTAATTATAATTAGTTGTAACACTAAGCACCAGTTGCACAGCTTTCTGATATATTTAAGTAGCGAATGGCTAAGGAATGGAACTCCTTGTCGGAATCTGTGTTTCCTAACAAATATAACTTGGGTGTCTTCAAGTCCCGAGTAAACAGGTTGCTCATAGGTAGGCGTGCTCCATCGTCGCTTACTACCAGGCGAGATTAAGTAATACTATAATAATGTTAAAGTCAAAATCATTCATTTATTTTTATTCTAACAAACTTTTTAGGGGCTTTTGTCACATATGTCAGCCCCATCATACCCTTTACATTACTTGACTATTATATTTTCCTTAGGTACTCTAGAGAATCACTTGATTAATTGTTATTCGTGGAGGACCAAAATCAAATAGTACAACTTTTTCATAATCGCTGAAGATGGTACAGATCAAATGGATTGTACGATGCCTACATCAAATTTATTAATTTTAAAATCATTCACGAATATCTCAGGTTCTACTCCGTTCCTAGCACACTACATCAGCAAATGTTGGACATCTTCGATTTGACCACAAAGTGTGCAGTTAGGAAAATCGGTCTTTTTCATAAGAAATGCAAACTTCGCCGATCATTTATTTTCAATTACACAATTACAGGAAGTCGCTTTTAACTCGTCGAGTACCGTCATTATAGACACAATTATAGAACAATAGGTTGCGGTCACCGGTGACCGCTTGGTGTTTGACAGTTTAAACGTCAAACAAAAAAAATTGGGTTGATGACAGGGTATGAAAATTAAAAATATAATTAGCCTGTAAGTTAGGTAATGAAAAAATATGAGACACCTATTTTCTATTTTGTTATGTAAGAAAAAAAAAAACAATGTATCTACTTAGATAAAACGAATCAAAGTTTAGGAGTGGGGGCTAAAACATAAATTCTACGTATAAAATGTACATAGAAGTGACGTCAAACGACATTTCAAATCAATATGTCGTCGAAAGTATTTGTTTCTGTAAGAAAATAATAAATACGTGTCTAATGATTTAAAATAATCTACCAGACGGACATTAAAATAAAAACTAGGCATCTACCCTATTAGAAAGATCTAATAGTACAATTATATATTTATTATCTAGAAAGTGTTGCAACTGTGTGCTTAATAAATAAATAAATATAGTGGGTGTATAATTCAATATAATTCATGTTTATTTCGTTTGCAGGCTGTGGACATTATAGCCGGTTTGAAGAAGAACCCCACAGTCGCCGTGCCAGTCGTTCTACGCCGACTGAAGGCCAAAGAAGATGAATGGCGGGAGGCGCAGAAGGTAAATTGAAATAATATTGCAACTCCTGTGTGCTGCAGAGATATATTGAAATGTACCTGTTGTCAGTTATGTTTTATGTCTCATAATGTGATTTATTTGTAAGCATAATATAAATTGGCATGTTAGGGATCATCCATGAAAGACGTTGACGAATTTCATGATTTTTTGCCTCTTCTCTCCCGTCCTTTTCACATTTGTGACAGATTCGAAGTGTGACGTTACATTTTTGATATTATTGAATGTAAAACAAAACGAAAAACTATTAAAGGAATTAACAAAAATAATTGGTACATTTATCGCATATAATGCTATATGTTTTTGAGACTTTCGCAAGTTAATAGGTTAAAGATTGTCTTTTAAGTCCGATTTCAATAGTTTTTGAAATTTGACGTCAAAAAGTTCAGGGTCAGACTGGTAGAAAATGCGGCATTAAATCCACCCATGTGCTTGTTTGTGTGCTTAGAGATTTAAATAAAATAGAAATAATTTGACAGAACTTAGCTTTGATCTTTTTGAACACTTATAATCAGACTCACTTAAGATATTTCAATAACTAAACCTCTCACTTCTTTCACAGGGCTTCAACAAGCAATGGCGCGAACAAAATGAGAAATACTACTTAAAATCTCTTGACCATCAAGGAATTAACTTCAAGCAGAATGATCTGAAAGCAATGCGGTCGAAATCTCTGTTTAACGAAGTCGAGTCTGCGTTCGCGGCGCGGAGGCCTGGCCCTCATGTTGTGCTTGATTACAACATGCAAAGTCGGCAGGAAGGTAAGCAAATCACATTCTTTAACTCGTCGAGTACGGGTTTTGTAGACACAATTATAGAACAATAGGTTGCGGTCACCGGTGTCCTCGCGGTGTTTGACAGTTTAATTAACGTTGCCCTACTCTAGGATTTTCTCCTGTGTCGTGGGTACGTTTACAAACATACAAGTTCACATACACATGACACACAGACACGGAACAACAATTTGTGGATCACAAAGACTTGTTCCTTGAATCGATTCTGCGACACGTTACACAGCAGCCAGTTGTCCAGCTACCGCACCAACCGTGCAGTCTTAGAATTAAGTTTGAACAAGTATTTAGTAGGTGAGCCATGCTTCGGCACAAATAGGTCGGTTCGCCCGGAGTGTTAGCACGGCTTTACAGAATACCGACGTGAAAAATGCTTGTGTTTGTGTTTGGTCGTGAGAGTGAGGTTATCGGAGGCTCCATCCTCTATCCCTGATCCTCAAATAGCCGGTAAAGCGATTGTAACTCCTCTAGTGTTCCGGGTGTCCATAGGTGGCGTCGATTGCTTGCCATCAGGTGATCCGTCTGCTCGTTTACTGTCCTATACCATAAAAAAGGACTTTATCTTCAGTCAAAACATTTATTTTTCAATGAATCTTTAATTAGACACTTTAAAAACTTCAAAATTTTAATTGTCCGTCAGTCTGTCAGGGAAGCTAGGCGCTCGTTCCAAAGTGTAGTTTCATACAAATATCCACATAAACTAGCAATGGGTACTATCCAAAATAACACCAAAACACTTTCCTTTCCCCGAGAATCGAACGTTAACACCTACACAAAACAGTTGCCCATTCACGACTATAAATAAACTAGGTCGGCTCTTTATATAAAGTTTATAACTGTTGCGTCATTCGGCCTTCAATGGAAGGTCACGCGCATATTACGTATACAAACAAATTGCGCGCCAATCTGTTTTAGTTTTTCCTTATTTATTATGTATTGTTATGTCATATAGTAATTGTATAATAATTATATTTGGATTGTCTATGATGGGAAAAGGATAAATTGCGGTTTATTTATTGAACTACATATTTTTATTAGTCATCAGGTCTCAATATTAGTGTTGAAATGTTTGTAAATGTGTTTTCGTAAATTATTTAAAGTAAAGACTGCTCCAATTTGATAAAAAATCACTACAATAACTATCGTGAGACATAATTATTTTTCAAACAATTCAAATTAAATCATTTATCTAATTTTATTTATTTTAATGATCAATTTAACCTCCCGAGCATGTGTATTCATATTTTTTATGCGATAATCCGGTAAACGAGCAGGCGGATCACCTGATGGTGAGCAAAAGGCGTCGCCCATATACACCTGGAACTCCAGACGCATTACAAATGCGTTACCGGCCTTTTGGGGATTAGGAATTCGAGGATTGTTGATGATTCGGGGATTGGAGAGATCGGGGAGGGGGTATTTGAGCCTCCGGTAACCTCACTCACACGACGAGACATACGCTAGCGTAATTTCACGTCGGTTTTATGATACCGTGGTGTAAAAGTTAATGAATAAACAATAATAGCGAATAGGAAATCCAGTGCTATTAGCTCATTATATCGCGATGTAAAGCTTCCTTTTTCATTACTAATGCGTAACAATTAAAATCAATTATTTCCTTCAAATATACTACTTACCTATAGAAGGAATTGGAAGTTAATGTTTGTGCTATTTTGATAGTTTCACTCACCGCTATGTTTGTTAGAATCGATTTTATAGACATAGGATAAAAATATTATCGTTCTAACACATTCTGGTTATTATTGATGTTATGTACATAGACCTCTACTACAGACCTCACGTCTAAATCCTAGCGTGAAGGCATAGTGGCAGTGTTTTACACTTTACAATAGAATAATAGTTAAAAAAATTGCCTCGTAGACCGGGTGGTCGCAAGTGCGACTGCTGAGCAAGGACTCGCGGATTCGATTCACGGGACGGGCAAAGAAATACCTGGGGTTTTTACAAATTCTCAGCAGTAGCACTGAGTCTGGGATTGTGCCCGGTATATGGAATTAGGTTCACCCCCTATTACACGGGACTCATAACATAAATAGTGTAATGTGGGTGTTACATTGTACAGTGGCATTAAGTGCCGTAATGTGCACCCCTGCCTACCTTGATGATAAAAGGCGTGATATTATGCCATGTACTAGTTAAATATTTTTGAACTGATGAACTCAGTTGTTCTTTTAATGCTAATTTTAAAGATATTTTCCTTATAACTTTCCTGTCACTTTAGCTTCTATATTTGTATATTAACATGATATTTTCCTTGCCAACAGCAATAAAAATCCTTCGCGATACAGCGGAGCTGCTAATCCACCACGCTCGACGTCAGACCGCCATTCAAAAGACGGAGAAGCGTCGCATCAAACAACTGCTCAGACACTTTCTGCCTGATCTTTTCGCTCATCCACGACAACCCTTGTCTGACGATGAGAGGGATGAAGGTATGATCAATAATACTTTATTTAAATCTATACGTAAACCAAGATTGGTGTGAAATGATTTTAACACCTTGAACGCCATAGGTACGGGCTACGATGGCGGAGGATATACCCTCAACAGTTTCCTGTCGGCAGTCAAAGGCTTAAATACTGCTCATTGATTTCAGTGTCATTTAGTGAATTATTTTTTTGTGCCCATACTAGGGTTTTCTCCTGTGTCGTGGGTGCGTTTACAAACATACAAGTTCACATACACATGACACCCAGACCTGGAATAATGATTTGTGGATCACGCAAAGAGTTGCTTCGTGCGGGAATTGAACCTGCTACACGTTACACAACAGCTAGTTGTCCAGTCACAGCGCCAACCGTGTAGTGATGAAGAAAGCCCATGTGATTTTTTTACAAACATTTCACATTGATCATGGTTTACGCTAAAGTATATTATTAGGTTGTTTTTTTGCGTGATTCAAAGATGTAATTTAAAGACGTAAAGTTGTAAGTAATAAATGCATAAAATAAACTTATATTTGAGACAATGATGACAAACCGTGCGATGTGCAAACTACAGAATGTCGGTGGTGATACACGCATGCTGCCTTCCTACTGAAATGTCTCACTTATCGATACTTAAACAATAAACATCACGCTTATTCATTTTCAATGGTATAGATAGATAGATAGAAAGTCAGTATAGTCTGAACTAAAATTTAACTCATTGCAAGATCTTATTCCTGAAGTTTAAGCCTAAGTTTGTCGATAAGAGTTGTCTTGTAATGAGAAGTACGGTAAAACGGAGCGAATAGAATTCGAGGGGTGAATAAATATTGGGAAAATATTCTAACGTTTATTCACCCCATTCCTGTATCTATTCACCCCTTGAATTCTATTCACCCAGTTTTACTGGGCTCCAAAGAAATATAACTTATGAACCACTTATCTCCTCCAAAGTACCTTAACAATACTTCTAAACTTAACGAAAGATGAGAAAGCGTGATGTTACAATACTGTTGTAGCAATATACACTCAACCATAATTAATTAACTTTTCTAAATATGTAATAACAATGTCTATCTTGTTCTACAGAAGAAAAAGACGAGGCTGGTAGTCCGGGAAGTCCAACCACGGAGAATCCGGAAGACAAGAATACTGATGATGTTAAACAGGAGAAACAAGAGGTAAGCTGTTCTTTTATTTATTTATTCATAATTCATGGAGGACTTACAGCTTATAAAAATGGATAAATATAACAGTAGGCGTAGGTAACAATGAGCCAATACCAAAGTCCTCACGTTTAGCATTTGGAATAAATTAATTAATATGGTGTGAGTACTATACAATAATAAAAATACATACATTCTGCGTAAATGAAAGAGTTAAATATTGAAACAGACCGTACAGACAATATGATTATAAACAGACCAAGAGAAACAATAAAAAAAAACTAAATATCTATTGCTGCTTACTCTTTGCCGAGTTCACACTAGTTGTAAACGGATCGAAGTCATATTTCTTAAAACATTTTTTATTTTAAACTTTTAGCGCGACTTTCGGCTATAGACGACAAAATTTATTTCATTTTCTGTAGAATTTTATAGGATTTAATAAGTATGTTCAGATGGGCCATTTAATTTAGTTTGTAATAAAAATATTCAATACTATCGGCCCGCCCCAGCTTTGCCTGAGTACTATTTCCCGATATTCTGGATAAATGTATGATTGTGTATAATTTTTCTATTATAACAAACACGTCATAAATATTATTGTACAATCCGCTGCAGTCATTCGACAGTTACGGGCGTGCATGTATACATTTTGGTGATCTATTTTTATTCACCCGTCGTGTATTTTCTATTGTGCCTTATATACCGACAGTCAGAGGTTAACATAGATTCTGTGAATATATATTTTCCTGTCACCAAAATTGGTTTGTAAATAGTTATGTAGGCTTTTCTAATGCTAATGACAAAATCTACAACTGTAACTTGTGACTGGCAAAAGTGAGATAAATAAACTGAAGTACAACTATTGAACTTGATATTAGTTTGTGATATGTCATTAAAATTAATAATTTGTATGTCTCTTTGTCCACAGTCATCAGAATCTGACAACGCTTCAGACAAGAGCGGTAAAAACAATAAGAATAAAGAAAACAAACCCAAGAACAATAATAATACGGATAGCAAAGGTAATTTATTTGGACTTGTCACTGGTTTATAAAACTTAGATTAAATTCGTAGATACTAACATGTTATCTGTTCCATATATGTACTGATTACACCCTAGACAGTCAGGAACTGTGTCTATCATATATCTAGTACTAATTTATGGTTTTATAATTTTCTGAGACAATGATGACAAACCGTGCGATGTGCAAACTACAGAATGTCGGTGGTGATACACGCATGCTGCCTTCCTACTGAAATGTCTCTTTTAACAACATCTTTCATAAAAACAACTTTAGTATTAGTTTGTTAACATGTAAATTAATATTATGTATTTGTATTACAGAAAGCTCAATTGGATCAGCAAATAGCGTGAAGCGCACTAGTAGTAATGAGGAAATGTCAATGAAGACTGATATTAAGTCGGAGCCGCAAGATGTCGAGGAAGACTATAGAGATCATCCGCCTAATGTAAGTATTGTTAAATTTAATATTTCGTATTTGATAAGTTGATTTATTGAAATGATAAGGAAATATTAGAACATTTTGTAGTAGTATCTTGAGTTGTGTATAATTAAACATTTGTTTCTTTTTAAATACTTCTTTGTGATGTTTTTTATTAACATTTTCGTGTATTTGTTGTACAGGAGGCTCGGTTTGTGTGCACGTCGTCGTGGTACCTATTCCTGCGCGTGCACGGCGCGCTGTGCCAGCGCCTGGGCGCGGCCCGGCGCGCCGCCGCCGCCCTGCAGCGCGCGCGCAACGCCGAGCGGCCCGCGCGACCGCCCGTCGCCCACGCGCTGCGCCTGCGGCCCTCCAA